AACGTTATTATTAATTATTATTATTAGAAATGATTGAAAATGATCCATACGCTGTCGAAATATTGTTCTCTTTGGAGTACCCTTTCGCACATACTCAGAGCGACATCAACGTTCGCTTTTAAGCTGGGCAAATGACAATCGCCAAGCTGCTCCGTTCGATCTAGTTGATTTTCTTTTAGTTCCGTGGAATACTCGAGTATTTTGAACAGTCGTTCAACTTCCCGGTCGCCTCTCTTCTCCTACAAATTTCCATTAGGTTTCAGGTTATACGTCAGGTTAAGATTTGATGTTGTGAGGAAATACGCGCATGAAATAATAAACGAATTGGTGAAAATTATAATATTTCTTAAGTTCTATATTTTCATGTAATTATCAAATTTTTTTATATTGAAAAAGTACGGTGGGAACTTGAGAATTTTTTACCTGGAACTCTCGTAGAAAGAACGTAATTTCACCCTGGACAAACGGTCGGTGATCGAATAGCCGAGTCCAAATTTCACCAGCGTCTACGAAAACGTGATATCACGAATAAAATCATGATAAATGCAAGTAACGATGAAACGTATAATAGAAATTTACGTTTAGAATCAATCGGAAGAAGCCACACCTTTAATAATAGCCGCCATGTTCCCTCGTGGGTTCACCTCGGGTTCATAGTTCATATTACAATAATATTCTAATCATTACAAACATAGTACTTGCCCGTACCTTCAAGATCTAGAAAAAGAATTATATATACATCCGTTGGATTCTATTTTTTTCAGTATTCTTGTATTTCTTATCCAAAGTAAAGTCTGGTCTGCACTTGAGTCTTATCAGTCGTTCTGTAAGTCTGATAGTACGCAAACGCGATGCGATATGCGTGGGATCGTTACAAGTGGAGAACGGGCTTAAGAAACGTTGCATTCTATCATTTCTCTAGCCTACCTTCCGCAGATAATGCATCCAATCCTAGAATTTATTACTCATTGATTGGTATTCAGAGTCGTTACTTATATTATAAACATATCGTTAGTTGTATTTAAGATTTTCTTAAGCATTTGCTAAAATCCCTGTTTTCTTTAAAAGATAGGGATTGAAAACATGGGATAGCAAATACTTAAAACGATCTTAAGATCTTAGACTTTGAATATTGGCCATTAACACCGAACCATATCATTTTTATCATTTTCGATCATCTTGCTGGATTCTAAAGTCGCTTTAGAACGTTTTATAATGAAAATCCAATCGATAGATAGGAAACATTCTAACTTGAAAATTGGTGAAAACACATTTCACCCCCAGGGGGTGGAATTTTACGAAATCCGTTTTCAATAGGTATCTACTTTATAAGAGGATCGCATCGTCGAAACATGCTACTAGATTGTAAAATACAGGCAGCAGAATGAGGAACAGAAATTAGTACTATGAAGCGGAAGCTTCGCTGGCAGAGTTTAGTCGATTGAATTTTAGGTAGTTGTTTGAATGGTATTTCGTTCTAAAATGCATTTCCAATAGTAATCCTGCCTGAGGACTTTTCACTATTTTCGTGCATCAAATGTTCTCAATTTTAAGCGTACGTCGACCACATTCCATTCAAACATGTTGTATATCTACTAATTAATGACACGAGTTTTGCAACAGTTTCATGAATGTCATATCTCGAATAAAATCTGTACGAAATTCTAAACTCGTCGCTACTGTTCAGTTTTTAGCAGTACTGGACGATTTAATTATTTTTTGTACAAGTCAATCATCAATACTTGTTAGCTTCTTTGTTAAGGATGTATTGGCTATACAGTTAATCCTAAAAGTTTATGTACCTTAGAGAAACGTATTTCCTATAATTAAAAAGAAATCAGACGTCGGAAGACAAATGCTAATAATAAATCGCTACGTGC